TGAGCTGTTGTTCAGCATCTTAGCTGTGGAGGGCAGTGTCACTGGCCCTCATATGTGGGATCCAAACCGGGGCCCTCTGGCGTCCCAAACCAGTTCTTAACCATTGCGCCACTCGGCTGGCCCTTAGCTGATTACTTTTAACATTTCTTGTAAGGCAGGTCTACTAGTGACAAACTCCCTTAGATCTGTTTATTTGGAAATGTCTTGTTCTCTTTCACATTTGAAGGATGATTTTGCCAGATACAGAATTCTTGTTTGACAGGCTTTTTTTCTTTCAACACTTTAAATATATCATCCTTCTGCCTTCTGGCCTCCATGGTTTCTGAAGAGAAATTGGCTATTAATCATGTTGAAGATCCTTATAAATGATGAGCCACTTCCCTCTCACTGCTTTTGAGGTTCTCTCTTTGTCTTTGTCTTTTGACACTGATTATAATGTGTCTCAGTGTAAATTTTTTTCAATTTATCCTACCTGGAATTTATTGAGCTTTTTGTATGTATAGATTCATATCTTTTATCAAGTTTGGGAACTTTTTGGCCAGTATTTCTTCAAATATTCTTTCTGCCTCTTTCTCTCTCGTCACCTTTTGAGACCCCCATTATGCATATATTGGTCCATTTAATGGTGCCCCATAGGTGTCTTAGGCTCTGCTCACTTTTCTTAATTCTTTTTTTCTTTTTGCTCCTCAGACTGGATAATCTCAACTAATCTATCTTTAAGTTTGCTGATTCTTCCTTCTTCCTCTTTAAATATGCCATTGAACTGCTTTAGTGAATTTTTCATATCAGTTATTGTACTACTTTTCAACTCCAGAATTTCTATTTGGTTATTTTTAACAATTTACATCTCTTTATTGATATTCTCTATTTGGTGAGATGGTTTCCTTCAGTTCTTTGAGCATATTTAAGAAGGTTGATTAAAGTCTTTGTCTATAAGTCCAAAGTTTGGGCTTCCTTGGGGAAATTTTCTGTTAATTTCCTTTTACCCTGTGCCTGGCTCTATGTTCTTGTTTCTTCACATACCTCATGAGTTTTTGTTGTAAACTGGACATTTTGAATATTATAATGTGATAACTTTGGATTCTGCCTTCTCTCCGGGGTTTGTTTTTGCTGCTTGTTGTGAGTTATAGTTTTGTTTACTGTGACTTTTCGAAACTATTTGCGTGAAGACTGTATTCTTTGTTGTGTATAGTTACTGCAGTTGCTCAAACACCTGGAGCCAAAACAAGACAAAACTCGAGGTCTCTGAAAATGGGCTCTGTGTGTGTGTTGGGGCATGCCTTCAATACTGAGTCAGGGCATTTACAACTCTGCCTTAGCCTTCACTTCCTGTCTACATGGAGCTTGAAGTGCAGTTGGGGGTGAGAGCTTAGGGTCATCTCATGTTTTTTCTGACCGTTTTTTCAACGCGGGGCATGCACGTGGTCTTCCGGATTCCCTAGTATATGTAGGAGCTTTTCAAAGCCCTTATTCCCGAAACATCTCACTCCCCTGCCATTGCTCCAGGTTTTTTGGAGTGTCTATTTTTTGTTTCAACTGATTATTTATTTTCCCCAAGCAGCAGTGGGTAGTGCATTTGCCTTTGGATGTTTTTGATCAATGCCCTTCAGAGCTGCTTCTCTGCCCTGGGGGAGTTCCAAGTTAGGATAATAAAGGCAAGCCCTTTGCATTATTTCTTCAGGGAGACTTCAGACAGGTTAAAATAACCACACTTCTTTGATAATAAGGTCTCCTTTGCTCCCTCTGGGCCCCAAAACCCACACCAGGGATGCAGGTTGCCATCTTTAAGATTGCCACTAAGGTGGGTATGAGGGGGATGGTAGGTTAAAATACCACAAAGCTCACCTGCTGGGTTTCAGTCACCTTTCTCTTTATCAAATGTTTAGTTGGTTACTGGAAACCTTTGAATATTTTCTAGAGTTCTATTAAAGTTGATTCTGACAGTTTTAGCCAAATTTTTTTTGGTGTTTCTGTAGAAGATGGGTTTTTGGAGCTCCCTATTCTGCCATCTTCATTGACACTACTTACTGATGACAATTGGCAGTTATTTCCTGAAAGCTTTTTGTCCCAACATACTATGTATCCTTGGGTATTTCCTTCAGCACCTCTGAACCTCAATCTCCCTATCTGTAAAATGGGTGGCCAGAATTGGACTGGATGGTGTTGTGATGAGGGTAGCACCATGGATCTGTGTGAGGCATCAAGGGAAAGAAAGGTACTGGAGAGGAAGCTCATAGCTCAGTGGAGCCTTGGTGGCTGGGTGTGGGCAGGAAGAGGATAGTGGGATGAAGCATTTCTGGCAGAGGACACAGCATAAGCAAAGATTGGAGACCCTATCCTGTGTGGTCAGGGCAGCAGGAGATGAGGCTGGAGCAGCAGCGAGCCTTGGTTCTGGGAGAAGACCTGGTTTGGTGCCGGAATGGGTCACAGGGGCATTAGACTTGCCCCTCAGGCCTGGTACACAGGCCACCTGCAGGGAAGGGGGCTATTCCCAGACTTCAGCTAAGGGGCGCCTAGATGCAGGGGGTTGAGGGGTTGGACAGTGGGTCTGGGTCTGGCAGGGCCAGGCTCTCAGCCCTTTGCTAGGTCTCCCGCAAGAGGCCTCTCTCCATCCACCAGACTTGTTTTACGATCTCTTCCTTCTTTCTTCTGCTTCTCTGTGCTTTGCTGTTCCCGCATCTGAAAAATCCTTCCCCCTCATGCCCGCCTAAAAATTCACAGCGCCCAGGTGCCACCCCTAACATGACTTGCTCAGTTAATAATAACCAACACTCATATAGCATTTGCTCTAACAGGTACCAATCTGAGTGAGTTACAAATGTTAACCTGTTTAATCCTGTTATTTGACAAATGAAGAAACAAAGGCGCATAGAGGTTGAAGAACTTGCCTAAGGTCACACAGTTTGTGAGTGGCCTAGCCTGGATTGAACCTAAACCATCTGGCTCCAGAGTCCAACCTCTTAGTGGCATGCTATCCTGTCTCTCCAGGGCTAACCTGTCCCTTATCTGGTGGTACCTTCCTTACCTCTGTCTGGGTCTGTCCACCCCCAGGCTGGGAGGTCTGAGGACATGTAGCCGAGCTGTGGTCTGAGCCTGTGAAGGCTGGTTAAATGGACAGATGGAAGGGTGCCTGGAAGCCCACCACCAGCACCTCCCTGTGTCTGATTCCTGTTTCCCTGGACTCCCACTTGTGGGTGGGTGGGCAGGGGTAGGTGTGCTTGTTCTGGGTGTGACTGGGGGAAGGGCCTCTCCTGAGAAAAGCACCCCTGAGAGGGCACAGGAAGTGGCTGAGAATCACTGCAGTCAGTCCACTTGGTGTTGGGTGGCAGAGCACTGGGTTCCAGGGGCTGGAACAGGTGTTGGGGTGAAAAGGAGCCTGGGTCCAACAGGGCAGCTCTGAGTTCTGTGTGAGGCATCACTGTCTACTTCCATCCCTGCTACTCCCCATGGTGGTTAGCTTGTTTGTCCTGGGAGCAGTTAGGCTTCCAGGATTCCAGACAATGCTGAGGGCCAAAAAAAGGAAGACGAGGCTTTGAAGAGAGAAAATAAAGAAGGGGGAAGAAGGGAGGAAGATAAAGATAAGTAAGGAGAGGGGAGAAGGTGAAGGTGGGAGGAGTCACAGCATCTGGGCACTCCACACTGTCTGGGTGGGATGGTGGCCACTGTGGCTCGCCGCCCAGCACAGATCCAAACTGGGTGTTTATTCCTGTGTGGCTGCCAGGACACAGAGGCCCAGCTTGGTGCTCACTGTGGGGTGAGCTCTGACCCATTAACGGTTGCTTGACGTTCTCAGGAACCAGGAGCCTCCTCTCCCCCAGGGCTCAGTGCCTCCTCTGTGGGTTGGAGATCACAGACTGGCTTGCTGGCTTCAGAGGCTGGGGGAGACCCAGGGAGACAGTCTCTTCAGGGGCTTTCCCCTTCCTCCCTAAGATTTTTATCTGCACTCACTCCCCAGAGGTAGCCAGTGAGCTAGAAAGATCTTTGAGACACCTTCCCTTTAGTCTTAAAAAAAATCACAAAATGTATTGTGCTCTACTCCATAACATCCCCACATTTCTTTTCATAGAAAACATACTGATTTTCTCCAAAACTGCAGTCAAGGTGAGGTTCCAGGTGCCTAGTTTACGCTGAGGCCTGCGGCTCGGTTGCCATCTGCTGCGGTCCCCGGTGAAGCCAGCGGGGAATCCCCCACGATGTTGGGATGTTGGGGGTCCCGCCGAGATGGGAGGGGGCCGCTGCGGCCCGGGCACCCTCTCCCCGTTCCCGCCCGCGGGCGTCACCTAAGCCGCCGTTGCCATGGGCCCGCGGCAGATGGCCGGGTTTAGGGTTCCCCGCGGGCGGCGCGCACCGGATTAAGTGAATTAGGGAGCCCCAGCCGTGCCGCCGCCGGAGCCGCCGCCAGACCCTCTGCGCCATGGAGCCCCCCACCCACCCCGCGGACTCCGCGGACCCCGCTGCCCGCGATGACCCTTCCACCTCCGCTGAGGAGCGCGCCAAGCAGCCCGACAAGTGGGCGCTGGTGCGCAACCTGAACCAAGTGTTGAAGACCTTCGCAGTCATGCCGGTGAGGCCCAGGCCAGGAGGGGGAGGGCGCGCCCGGGGACCCCGCCCCAGCCTCAGTTTCCCAGCCCAGGCCTCAGTTTCCCCTCCCGCTAGGCGCCAGGAAGACCGCAGGGTCGCAGAGCCCCAGGGTGCACGCAGATGGAAGCCTCCCGGTGCTGCGTGCGGTCCCTGACTCCCAGCGTGAACTTGGCGCCGGCTGCCTCTCTCTGGGCAGGAAGTTTTTGTATTCACCCAGGGCTGAGGGGGCCAGGGCTGAGAACAGGGTTTCCCTGCCTTCTCCGGAGTCCAGAGCAGAGAGCCCTCCAGATGCCCCAGGGCAGGGAGCCCTCTAGGTGCCCCAGGGGCCTGGGTAGACATTTGTGGACTGGTTGGCAGAAGGAAAGCATCGGCCCCAGGTCCCCTCTATGACCTAAGGTTAGCAACTGGGCACTTTCTTGCTCACAGGTGTCCCTGGCAAATTGGTTGGCTCACCTTTCTCACCTGTGAAAATGGGGCTAATAAAACCAGTGTCCCAGGGTGATTATGAGGATAAGTGAGAGGGGGAAATGTCCTGAAACAGACTTCTTTCTGGTCCATAAACAGGGACTCAGGCAGGCCCTGCGTGGGAGAACAGAAGAGGCATAAAGGCTGAGGCCCCCTGGGGAATTCATATTGCTAGGAGACCCAGGCTCACACCTGGGAGGGAAGGTGGCGAAATGCAGGACAACTTGCATTTGTGTGACTCTCTCATCTTCTCAGGCACTGACTCCTTCCATTGTAAAGATAGTGAACACTGAGGCCCAGAGAAACGAGACACCCAAAGGCACACAATGTTAGTGGCAGAACTGGGACCAGAACTGTTGATGTGTGCCAGCTTCCTTGATGGGATGCCCACCGGGGTTTTGGGTTGCCCTTGAGAACATTTAGACAGACCCATTCTAGGAAATCACCACTCTGGGGCTGAGAGACCCTCTGCTGCAGCCACTTATGTGACTGCAGAGAAGCCGGAACTTGCCCCAAGTTACACAGCCACACTGAGGCATGTGTCACATCACAGATGAGATATTTTATTTAAGATGAGGTCCCAAGTGGGGCACCCATCCTAGTGGGGTGGTAGGAATGGAGCCAGAAGCAGTCATGAGCTGCCTGGAATCTGGCCATGGGGATGGGAGTGGCTGATGGGGTTAACCTGGGGCCAGTGCCCCTTTCCTCTCTTCCCTGCCCCTCAAAAAAGTGTCATTTCTTTTACATCTTCCTTCCTTCCTTCCTTCCCTCACCCAACCACTGACCCCTGATCCACGCTGTTTTGGGTTCAGGCTCTGCCCTGCAGATACTCACAGCCTTATGGGTCACTGATTTGATGAGTGACTGTGGCCAAGTTCCTTTCTCTCTTTGGGTTCAGTTTTCTCATCTGTAAAATGAAAGCCCCTTACAACCTGGCTGCATTCTGATGTCCAAAACTCTTTCCCTGGGACCATGGGAACTTTTGCCCTCAAGCACCAGGATTCTCACTGAAGCCTCTTAGATGTCATTTTAGCCTCTTTCCTCACGCTCTGACCTAGAGCAGAGACAGTTAAGTCACTGCCCTCCTGATGTCTGTCCTTGGTTAGGACAGTTCTGGTCACTTCTGTTTGCTACATGGCCCTGAGCTCCTTGCTCAGCCTCTCTGAACCTCCATTTCCTGCTGACACAAGGTCTTTTATTTTGGTTATTTTATGTTCCCCGAATGGGAGGCATTTTCTGTGTGCCAGGCTTTGTGCTAGATCAGGGGATACAGGTGACTCAGAGAGACCCCTGCCCTCCTATTCCTCTCAGCCCAAGCTACAAGCTTGCCTTTTGGGTCCACGAGTCATCTATGGCCAGGGTCCCTAACAGTGCTTCCCATGCTGCTCACAGAGCTGGGGTCGGGACTGGGTCCAGGGCATGTTGGGTAAAGCACTGGCTCTACCACCAAGCAGCTGTGTGAACTTGGGCACATTTCTTAACCTTCTTGAGTAGGTGAAGTGGAGATAGAATCTTCTGCCTAAGGGTTATCATGAGGTTTGATGAGATAGTTAATTACGGGGAAGCATCTAATTCACAACCTGGCTCATTGTAGGGGTAACTGAGTTAGCGCAGAGCAATGTCCTTGGGCCACGGCCCTCTGTGGCGGGCCTCCAGGAGTCAGTCTCTCTTTTTCTCTCTCTCTCTCTCTCTCTCTCTCTCTCTCTCTCTCT